TCCACTCACCCATCAGGGACCTCAAAGAGCTCTGAGTGTCCATGGGAGCTGGGACCCAGGGCAGGAACTTCTCTTGTGGGACCAGCCCCTGGGAAACAGTCCTTGTCACCTGGAAAGTGAGAAGGGCTGAGTGAAAGGCATCCAGGGGCCTTGAAGAGGAATCAGGGAGAAATGGAGAGGGACCCAGGAGAGCAAGGTGAGCTGTAGATGGAAATATTGGGAAGGAAATCATGGGGCCAAGGCTATGGTCATTCAGAACAGACATTCAACTTTCCTTTCCCATCATGGAACCCAATGAGAAAGCCATTCACAGGTGAAGGTTTCTGGTGGACTCCTCACCATAAAATCATGAAAAGCTTTCAACAGTGCCTCCCATGGTGTGTTTGTCAAACGTTGACAATGCATGTTATGTCAGTAAGGACACTGACAAGTCATACAGCAGAGAAACAGTTTAATATCATATAACCTAACAATTCCCCAATCATGCCACACCCCTTACCAACTCAGCGAGCCTGGATCTCATGGTGCTGGGCACCTGAGCTGAGGATGAGGCACAATGAAGCTCATTTTATGTTCTCATCGTCTTGGGTCAGCCTCAGTGTCAAGGTGACACTAGCTTGGTCTTGTGACCTCCATCATGTAGGTCTCAAACCCTGAAGGCAGATCAACCTGAGAGTTTTGGGGGTTGGTTTAAGGATGGAGCAGGTGATATCAGGCATCTCAGATGGAGGGGACAGGGGAATTGACCTTGATGGATTAGAAAGGTGATGTCAGCATCTCAGGTGGAGGGGACATGGGAGTTGACCTTGATGGATCAGAAAGGGCACCATCCCGGGCACAGAATGGGCATTCAGTGGTACCCAGGGAGGGCATATCCACTGGAATTCAGGAGCCAAGTAAAGGCAGGTCAGACAATCTCAGATCAGGGGGAGTGTGGCCTGTGGATTACAGCAAGGTCTGGCCTCCCCGGTGACAGCACCCCCACGCCACTCCAGCCCTGGGAGCGAAGGCAGTGGACACCCTCAAGCTCACCCTCAAGGGCAGGTTTGAAAGGCTACAGTCCCACTATGACATCACCGATGCTCTCCCGATCTAGGCTGCCCCTGTTGAAGATAAGCCAGAGATCTGGATCAGATGGTTGGGGACATAGGAAGTCGCCAGTAGACACTCTACACGGCCCAACTTGTCTTTCTCTGGAATGTGGGGCGGGGAGGAGGGAATACGCACTGCCCTCCCCTCATGCTCTCACCCAGGGGTTAGGGGTGTTTGGACATAAGAGAGGTGTGCCACCCGTGCCCATGGAACCTCCCTCGCGGTGACAGAGATGTCCGCCATACTATCCCACATCCAAGGAGAGCAGACTGAAACAGCCAGTCAAACACCTAATTCCTTTGGGAGAATTGCTTCCAAGAATGCTATCTGCATGCAATGCACCCTGTCCCCTATCCTGTCACCTGCTGGTCTGCAAGGGGCGACAGTGTGTGTGCCCCTTGCAGACCAGACAACCCCTGGGGCAGTGGCCCAGGCTTCCTCCATCACAGCTGTAGGGGGAGGTGGGGGTGTGCTCAAGGGTGGGCAGGGCCTCTCACTGAGAGGTTTTTGTATGAGTCTGTGTCACAGTGTTATGTGTTCGGCGGAGGGACCCAGCTGACCGTCCTAGGTGAGTCTCTCCTTCCCCCTCCTTACCTGCTCCCCCACAAAGTTTGGGCTGTTTTCTGCTATTTTTGCTCTTTTTCTGGTCTTGCCTCAGCCTGTGGCCAAGCTTTCACCCCGGATCCCAGCCCTTGGGGACCTGAGGTCTTCCCACCCCTGTTCTTACTGTCCTACTTGGTCACGCTGAGCCACTCGGCTCTGACCTCAGAGACAGGGGAATGGGCAGGATGCATTGTGGATTCTTCTGTCTGTCTGGGAGGGTCATGCTGGATTCCAGTTGTCTTCCCCTGTTCTGTCTTCACTTGATGGGCCCCTGTGGAGCAGGATTTATATCTGTAAGTCGCTGGTGGCCCCTGTCTGAAGGGAAAGGAAGGAAAAGAAGTGCTGAAGGGATCCGATGGAAATTTTGGAGTCACACAGATGCTCAAGGCCAAGGTTAGAGACACCCAGGTCAGAGGTTCAGGGCAGGTCTCAGGGACTGTGTTCTCATGAACAGTGGCCAGGAATGGTGCTGGGGTGCAGGGCTCCCCGGGGCTGCATGGAGCTTCCATGCAGAGTCCTGACCAGCCTGGCACCAGGGAAGCCTGCAGGAGGAAGGACATAGTGGGGAGGAGAAGGTGCTGGAGGAAGGGCCATGGAAGGGCAGGTGTGAGGACAAGGTGGTCTTTGGTCTGTGCAGGAAGAACAATCTCGCAGAAGAAATGGCAGAATCCATGGCATGAAAGCTCTAGTGATCTGACCAATCTGTGGGGATGCCATTAACTGTAGAATGAGAGAGACCCAACGACAGACAGACAGGTTTCTGTTTCATCAGAAAAAGCTGCCACCCAGTTTGGACAGGGAGCAGGAGACATAGATGTGGGGAAGAAACTGAGCCCTTGGGTGGATACTACAAAGCCCCCAGCACCGAGGATCAGGTCGGAGGTGTCCACAGATGGACCCAGCAGGAGGTCAGAGGGCTCAGAGCATCTTTTGTGGGACAAACAGACAGACAGACACAGACAGGCCCAGTCAGATACCAGGAGAAGGCAGAGCCAGACGGTGACAGTCAGATGTGTGGGGGCAGAACCGGGCCCACAAGGACGGTGATGGCAGGTTCCAGGCTCAGGGTTTCTCAGGAAAATGGGGAGTTGAGCTAAAAACACCCCAAATTGCCCTGCACGGCATGGACGCTCACACCCAGAGAGGCCCCTGCCCTCGGGGGGCTGCCTGGTCCTCAGGACACTGTGCCCACAGGAGGACCGAGGTCAGCAACTTTCAGGATGGACCCTGAGCCTCTCCCCTCCTGTCCCTCCCGCACCCACAGGTCAGCCCAAGTCTGCACCCTCCGTGTCTCTGTTCCCGCCATCCGCTGAGGAGCTCGCCAACAACAAGGCCACACTGGTGTGTCTCATGAGTGACTTCTACCCGGGCAGCGTGACGGTGGCCTGGAAGGCAAATGGCAGCCCCGTCACCCAGGGCGTGGAGACCACCAAGCCCTCCAAGCAGAGCAACAACAAGTACGCGGCCAGCAGCTACCTGAGCGTGTCCAGCCAAGCCTGGAAGTCCGCCAGCGCCTACAGCTGCCAGGCCACACACA